GTCGGATCCACTAGTCGAAGGGCAAGCAAAACGCCACACACCAGCCATATACTCTTTTGTAGCTGCAGGTGTAGTTAACTCTGCCCCAACTGGCTCCGTGCCCCAAAAGTAAGGATGCACCAAAACAATCCCAACCAGCTTAACACCAACCAATCTCTCACACCCCAATTTCAAAGCCATGTTGTGTGATATATTAGCACCAGCGCTGTCCCCAGCGAAAAACACACGTTGTAAATCTGCAAATCTATTTAGCCATTCTTCAGAGCCGTTTCCATCAAAATGGGAAGCAACCCATTTGATAGCAACCCATGAATCATCGTAAGCAGCCGGCAGAGGGTGCTCTGGAGCAAGCCTATAGTCAACAGAGACTGCAACAACATTGGCCTCAGAGACTAAGGTGTTGACGTAGCTGTGATATGCTGGAGAAAATGGACTTTCAATGCAGAAGCCGCCTCCATGAAAGTAAATGAGAAGAGGGAGTTTGGTTTGGGGTGAGTCTGTGGTGGTTTTGGGGTTGTAAATTCTTGCAGATATAGCTGGTTCTTGTGATATCACGACGTCCTTTGATTGGACGCCATTTTCTGGCTGTGTTGATGGAGGAACTCTGTCTGTTCCTGCGAGTCTCTCAACTCGACCATCTTTGTATACTTTAATCATTGGAGAGAAATCATGGGCTAATTCTTCGTTGCTCATGGTTTGGATTGGAGAAAGAAAATAAGAGAATAACAACAAACAACTATAGAGGCTTCTCTCTCTCTCTCTCTTTCTTATGAAGAGTAGCAGCAAAATTTGTTTTGTGTTTATGCTGGCGCCTTGGTGGGTTTTAATAGAGAAATTTTTGTTTTGGTTCTGAAAACGCTCCCGCTGTAAAACCCGTCCACTTGTTATGATACGGGGAGGGGATTTCTCACATAACATAACACTATTAACGTGTTATGGGTGTTCGAACAACAATCACTAATTTACAAGTTAATGCCTTTTTCACTCGGTTAAACCTGTTGGCTAATATTTCCAACTTCTAAGATAGAGTATCAATAAATATTCTTTATATTATAGTAGGCGAATGAATTATACCTTTTGACTGTATTCCAATACCACATTATAATTACTCATTTTTTATGAAAACTTTCAAATTAATTCTAATAAAACAAATTTGTTGTTGTTGTTGGACATTTTTGCTTCGTATGAAACTTCATGCATCTAGTTTTGGCAAAGAGAACGGCTTATCTTTTTATATATTTAGGACGCCAAAGAATTTCAATGGCCACTGGTCAAACTGTCTAGGTTCACATCTAATTTTTTTTTTTAAATTTTGTTGATACCATCATTGGCCTCACGTGCTTTCTCCAATATAGTGGCCTCCCACGTGGGTTAAGTCTCATATACCCTATCATCTGACAAGGCAAGAAACCCATGCGCTTAAAGAAAGGCCCACGCCTCCTCCTAGCTGGCCTGACATGCCTAAGCAAGGGGACCACTTAAGTTGGTCTCCCACATGCCGCAAGCACCAAGATGGACCTCCTTCCTATGCCTCATGTAAACAGCCCATGCTGCGCATTAAACAAAGGGCACGCATGGCTCCCCTCTTCTGGCTATATAGTATGAGAGACCTCCAGCAGGCTCTCCCATGGCCAAGACTTATGAGAGACCTCCAGCAGGCTCTCCATGTATACTGTAATACTCATTCATAGAGAAATATAAACACCAAGCTCTACAGTGGACGTAGCCCTATTCATGGGTGAACCACTATAAATCTGTGTAATGTGTGTGATTGTCCGGATATCCTTTACCCGTGCTAAAACACTCGTTAACAAATTTGATTCGTTTTATTTTGTTTTCCGTAATTATGCATGCTACTTGTCTTATAGGCTTTCGGCTCCCAACTTAATTTTTATCGTCTTCTCTTTCATGTGGGTATATTTTTACTCACTACTTTAACTCAAGGTGTACTCTCACTATCCTTTTCAACACTTAACACGTGTCCCTTGGCATAACCATCAAGGGCGGAACTAGGAATTTTTCAATGGGTGGGCTAGCTAAAGTTATTAGCTTAAAATCTAATGATAAATTTTTTTTTTGTACTTACATTTTCTGTAGTTTTTCTATAAATAAAAGTATACATTAAATCATATATATCAAGCTAATTGTAAACACAAGAAGAAAAAAAAAAAGAAATTAGAGCCATATTATTCACGAAATGGTGAATTTCATTTAGAAAAGTGCTTCTCTTTTGGAGACAAATTAATATAAAATTTTTAAAATTGATGTTGGGACAAACTTTGACACCAAATACAAATGTGGAAGACCTCTAACTATGCCTATTGGTGTTGAAATTGTGTATATATATAGTTAAAATATTAGGCTATATGTATATTTAATTTGTTTTTTCCCCAAATCTTCCCTGGGCTACAGCCAAGGGCAGCCCTTGCCTTGGTTCCGCCCATGATAACCATAGTTAACTCTTTACTTTATATTTATGCAACCATGGTTATGTCAATAGACAATGTCAAATGTTGAGAAGGTTGGTGAGAGTACACATTGGGTTAAAGCTGTGAGCAAAAATGCTTCCCTTTCATGCTATATTGATGTCATCTGTGAAATCTTTTTCCTCTAATCTTTTGTTATTTATTAATATTTTTCCTGTAATCTAATCTTATTACTACACTGATTAAATAAGAATTTGGTCCTTTTCATTAGTTATCTTATTTGTTTACATTATCACTTATCAAATGTTTGAAAGTTATCATCATTGCTTTTAGAAAGCAAAGTTAATAGTGTAACAAATCGACAATAACAACGGAACAATAATACATGATTTATGTCATATCAAGATTATATGAGACTGTTTGCTATTAAAATAATGGAACAATATCAACATATAGTATATCGAGATAGTATTGATATAATGAGACTGGTTGCTTTTACTCTGCTAAGAGACAAGATAGAATTTTCCTGCTCTGCATATGAATGAAATTTTTCTCACCCTCAGTTGCCAAATTTGAATTGAACACGTGCGGCTAATGTTCATCAAGAAAAGTTTCTAATTGTTAAACTATTGACAAATGACCAAATGCCAACCCGTGGAATATTCGCATCCAAAAGAGAAAACGAAAAGAAAAAACAAAGGACCAGTGCAATATAAAATATGGCAAAGTAATTGAAAATGGAACCCAGCAGTGCATTTTATACTTTAAGTTGGTCCATGGATGATCAGATCTATTCCTTAAAAATAAAATATTCCCTACTTGAAACCCGTAAGCAATTGTACGTGTGACGATAACACCACATAACACACTACAGATTTGTTTGATTAATTATAACTCTAAATTTTAAAACTTAATCTGGCATATGCTTTACTATATTTTAAGTGAATTTGTAATATTATGATGTGTTATAATTTGAGTATGTTTGTAACACCATATGGCCCCTATTTTCTGTAATGCTTAACCAGCTGTTTTTGTTTGTTTATTGGGAGGTATATATTTGGACTTTCAAAGTGAACCGACAAAGCATAGAATTATGATGGAAGATTTGGTTCCATACAAGATGTAAGTGACCAGGACATTTTCGAAAAGCATTTCCCAGATCATCCACTATATCAGTCATGATAATTTTATATGCATATAACAAAGAAAAAGTGCAAATGTGCATGTTTTAAAGGAAAAATATTTGGCTCGTCACATGTGAGTTATATCATATTGGATCAGTTTAGAGATTTTTATTTTTAAATTTAAACCACATGAGTTCACACACACCTAAGATATCATGGGAGTTTGAACATGAAATCTTTCGTCTGCAAGTCAATGCTCTTTCACATTGGGCTAGACTCCATTGGCAGCTTAGAGACTCTTTAATTAGTAAGTACTCTTCAATTTTCTAGTATGGGATTTTCTTTTCCCTTCCCATGCTAAGGTTTTTTTGTTGGATGGTTAATCACGTCTTTTATTCACAATGGAGCTAATGACTTGGAAGAATACTTGGGTTCTACCTAATATCCCACGAGAATTTATCAAAAATAGCCAAAACTTGATCCTTAATTTCAAAAATGTCATTTTTTGTAAAATATTTCAAATATAGCAAAAACCTCACCTAAATAGACACAAATGCCCTCAAATTTAAAACCCGTATAAACCTAAAAAATAAACCTTATTAAATAAAAATTTGGAATATTTTTAACCCACGTTTGTATAGAAGAACAGAAGTTGAAATATATCATCCTATTTATTGATATTAGTCAATTTAAACTTAGTCCCAATCCAAGCATCACCAAACACCGGATAAGTGTTATTCAACTTAAGCCAATTCAAGCCAAGACAATTTCTGAGCATAGTTCATGCCAAGACAATCTTCCAAAACAAACGAGGCTGAAGGGATCAACTTGGCAAATGACTGAAAGACTCATTGCCGGATCAATTGCGCAAGTTTGTCTGAATGACACCATTATTTTGTCTTCTCTGATGGACCAATCCGCCGAGTGTTCCCCACACGTATAAATGCTGCACTGGCTTCTCAAAGAAGCTAATAAGTTCAAATTGGCAGCTCATCCCACACGTCACGTTGCCTTTTAAAAGCCACACAAACATATTTGTTCAATTTGAGTGACAAAGTCAAAAGAATTTTCCACATGAAAAGAATTGATTTGTAGGCCAAAGAAAAATCTGAGTGACAAAGTCAAAAGAATTTTCCACATGAAAAGAATTGATTTGTAGGCCAAAGAAAAATCTGAGTGACAAAGTCAAAAGAATTTTCCACATGAAAAGAATTGATTTGTAGGCCAAAGAAAAATCTGAGTGACAAAGTCAAAAGAATTTTCCACATGAAAAGAATTGATTTGTAGGCCAAAGAAAAATCTGAGTGACAAAGTCAAAAGAATTTTCCACATGAAAAGAATTGATTTGTAGGCCAAAGAAAAATCTGAGTGACAAAGTCAAAAGAATTTTCCACATGAAAAGAATTGATTTGTAGGCCAAAGAAAAATCTGAGTGACAAAGTCAAAAGAATTTTCCACATGAAAAGAATTGATTTGTAGGCCAAAGAAAAATCTGAGTGACAAAGTCAAAAGAATTTTCCACATGAAAAGAATTGATTTGTAGGCCAAAGAAAAATCTGAGTGACAAAGTCAAAAGAATTTTCCACATAAAAGAATTGATTTGTAGGCCAAAGAAAAATCAAATCATGATATAAGTATTCCCAACATTTTCGACTAAAAAATTTATATTCTTATTGCTGAGCTTAGTTGGTTGGATTTTTACTTTTTGTTGTATTGTTGTGCCCTTTTGTGGTTTCTTAATAAAATTTAGGGTTTGTCCAATATAAGTCCCTACAATTTCTACTTCCTAGACATATAATTCTATAAATCTATGTGTAAAACCCAATTTTATACTTAAATGACCAGTAAGATATAAGCGGTTATAGGATTCCTATGTTTTTACATCGCTATCATCAGACTTTATATTTTATTTATAATGTATTCCAAGCATTTCATTAACTTCCATAATTGTAATTAAAACTCCCTATTAATACCTAAAATTCAAATTAAATATAAAAGGGAATGAAAAACCATAAGGAAGTTTAAAGTGCAGTAATCTATAGACAGAGAAAACTTTTATCTTGATGTGAATGGAAAAAGTCTGGCTTATTATGCTTCACAATTCAGATTCACTATATACAATTTTCTATTTTATTCAACAACAAAAAAAAAACAATTTTTGTTTTTCAATTGTTTTTGGATGTCTACCCTACATGTAATATAATATAGTAAGAACAATAGACGAAGAAGAAACTAAATGAAGAACCAAGGAAGAACTGCACTTACTGTTTGACTAGGGTAGCAATACGTCTGCAAACGTATGTACAAAGATTCCCAATCCAATAGGGTTTTATTTTTTAGGTTTATGTGGGTTTTAAATTTGAGGGCATTTGTGTCTATTTAGGTGAGTTTTTTGCTATATTTGAAATATTTTACAAAAACTGACATTTTAAAAATTGGGGATCAAGTTTTGGCTATTTTTGATAAATTCTCATATCCCACATATTCATGAAACTGTGAATGACGTCCAAGGAATAAGTTATAAAACCTAATATCACAAAGTGGGCTCTTTGATTGCTAGATTGTTAATGGGAGGCCTTTATAGAATGTTGAAATGCACATGCATTATTGTGAGGGGTTATAATAAGGGGGTCCTTAATAGGCATGTTTACTAATCCGGAATTGGAATTCTCATCAGGAATTGAATTCCACTTTTGAGGATTCCTGCGTTTACTTCACATAATGGAATTGAAAAGTAAGTGGGACCCACGCAAAATTAGGAATTGAATTCCTAATTTTGGAGAAATTCAATTCCGGAATTGGAAGTGGTATTCTAATTCCTGGAGAATTCACCCCTTAGGAATTCATCTTTTTTACCCATTATATCCTCACACAATTTTCAAATTTTCAAATATGCCATCTACTTTAAACAAAAAATGTGGACATTTTAGTAATTAGTACCACTCCTACCCCAATTCCATATGGTTTAGTAAACAACTTCAATAGGAATTCGGAATCTAACTCCCCTCAATCTATATGGTTTAGTAAACAACTTCATTAGGAATCCGGAATCTAATTCTCCTCAATCCAACTCATCCTCAATTCAATTCATCCTCAATTCAATTCCCCCTAATTCAATTCCGGATTAGTAAACATGCCAAAAGAGTTATTTTTTGACTATTGGATTGAACTCCCTCATTATAACCCATCAACATTGCCTAGTTATAGAAGCTTCCTAAAATGAGATCCAATAGGCTGGGTCGTTGGCGTCCAAGCCTCTTAGGACAATGATTGATTTATTGACTCATTAGGTCCCTCAAATGTCAAACATTAAATTTGAATTTGATGGCTTACATTTCACTTGATATGTCAAATTAAAATATTATTTTATTATATATTGTTTATTGGTGTACAATTAAGGCATATTAATTGAAAAATAATAATATGATAATGAAATAACATCACAATGTAAAACAATCAAAAATAACAGCAAGAGAGAGAAATGTAATTTCACGTAGAATTTAAAATTTCTGTCGGAGTGAGAAGGTGCCACTTTAACATCTCCTTTGGAAAAGAAACAGATGAAGGGATGAGTTCTTACTGAATCAAACTTGTTTCTCACAAAAAAAAGAGGATGAAATCATGAAACAGATGAAGAAAAGAAACCAAAACTTACTAAGTATACCAAAGTTTCAGAAAAATTATTCTAGTTCAAGAAAGAAACAATCTTTTTCTGCAAGGCCACAGCGTTGTCACAAATTGGATTGAACAAATGGAACACATGGCCCTCCCCCTTTGCTTCTATGACCTCCACAACACCATTCCACCCACTCTTTTTCAGTATCTCACTATAATACCATCCTCTATCTTTCAACCCATCTTTCTCAGCAACACAAACCAGCACTTTCTCACATCCCAATTTCCCCAATTTCGGATCCTTTGCCGGGTTTATAAGAGGGTCGTCGGATCCACTAGTCGAGGGGCAAGCAAAACGCCACACACCAGCCATACGCTCTTTTGTAGCTGCAGGGGTAGTTAACTCTGCCCCAACTGGCTCTGTGCCCCAAAAGTAAGGATGCACCAAAACAATCCCAACCAGCTTAACACCAACCAATCTCTCACACCCCAATTTCACAGCCATGCTGTGTGTTATGTTAGCACCAGCGCTGTCCCCAGCGAAAAACACACGTTGTAAATCTGCAAATCTATTTAGCCATTCTTCAGAGCCGTTTCCATCAAAATGGGAAGCAACCCATTTGATAGCAACCCATGAATCATCGTAAGCAGCCGGCAGAGGGTGCTCTGGAGCAAGCCTATAGTCAACAGAGACTGCAACAACATTGGCCTCAGAGACTAAGGTGTTGACGTAGCTGTGATATGCTGGAGAAAATGGACTTTCAATGCAGAAGCCGCCTCCATGAAAGTAAATGAGAAGAGGGAGTTTGGTTTGGGGTGAGTCTGTGGTGGTTTTGGGGATGTAAATTCTTGCAGATATGGCTGGTTCTTGTGATATCACGACGTCCTTTGATTGGACGCCATTTTCTGGCTGTGTTGATGGAGGAACTCTGTCTGTTCCTTTGAGTCTCTCAACTCGACCATCTTTGTATACTTTAATCATTGGAGAGAAATCATGGGCTAAGTCTTCGTTGCTCATGGTTCGGACTGGAGAAGGAAGAGAAGAAAATAACAAGAAGCAGCTATGGAGGCCTTTCTCTCTCTTTCTTATGCAGACAGCAGAGTAGAACCAAAAGTTCTATCTATGCTGGAGTCTTAGTGTTTCTATTTATGGCAGCCAATAAGCTGAAGCGGTATAACCGGTACACATGATATGATATGGGTGGATTACATAATTTATATTTTCCACATTTAAGGTAGAGTGTGACTGTGATCTAATACAACATTATAATTTATTTCTTTTTATGGAACCTTCAAATTAATTCTAGAAAAAACAAATTGGTTGCTCTTGTTGACAATTTTTGCCTTCCTTCGTATATGCACGCATATAGGATTGGGAGGCAGGTAAGTCTTTTAATATATTTGATTTTGAGGTCTTAGTTTTATTTAGGACGCCAAAGAATTTCAGTGGCCAAACTGTCTAAGTTCACATCTAAATTCAAAGTTTTCTCCTTTTTCACAAGATTTGAATGGTTCAATTTTGTTTTCCGTGCTAATGCATGCGCTACTTCACTCAACATTACTTTTCCCGTCGTCTTTTTCACGCTATATTGATTTCATTTGCGAAGTCTTTTCCTCTAATTTAGTCTTACCAAATTGATTAAATAAGAATTGTGCACTTCACATGTTTGAAAGTTATTGTGGGATTATGGAGTTTAATCCAACATAGAGGGGCGATAACATGTTTGAAAGTTAATATTGTTGTTTTTAAATAGCGAAGTTGTCAAATAGTACTATTAGGTCTCGTTTGATATGGATGATTAGACTAAACTAGCCTGGGTTAACTAAATAACTACATTTCATGTGCAATTTTGTGGGATTAAAAAGGACAACCTCTCATGAATAGTCCATTCTAATCCTACAAATTAGAAGACAATATTCATATTCTTTTTCACTTGCAAATGAAACTTAATCATTTAGCTAATCCAGTCTAATCTTCCATATCAAACGTGAAGTTAGCGTAGCAATTAGGCAATATCAACAAAATAATTAGACTTTATTTATATCATATCAAAACACTACATGATACTGATTGCTATCGAAATAATAAGACAACATTGATGGTTGATCTTTTTTGGTTGAAGCCACTCAAAATCATTTATGATTATTTAATTGGAAAGTAAATACGTGTAAAGCTATTCTCTACCAAGTGATGTGCATCATGCATGACGCTAGAATTTTTCCTCTCTAATGTGCATGAAACCTTCCCCATCAGTTGCGAAATTGAAGGCGTAGGGCTGATGCTATCAACTTGCAAGAAACGTTTCGGATTATAGCAAATGACCAAAATGCCAACCTGTGGAATATTCACATACAAAAAATATTATTATTTTTATTTTTAAAAAAAACCAGTGCAATTTGAAATATGGTAAATCACTTGGCACATTTGAAAATGGAACCCAGCAGTGCATTATAAAATTTAAGTTAGTCAGCCGTATACGATGACAACACCGCATGACATACCATGGATCCAGTTAATTAATTATAACCCTAAATTCTAAAACTTAAATCTAACGTATGCTATATTATATTTTAAGTGAGTTCATTATTTTTAATGTTTTAAAATTTGGGTAAATTCGTAATATCATCCGTCACAATAAGTTGATCAGATAAGTCCGTCAGTCATTGTAGTTGTTGAAAGATTGAATGGAATGGGACACAAGAAGACTGCTCGCTAGCTAATAAACTCTGTCCATAACAGTAGTGATGAGAGGATAGGGTATGATGTGAAATGTCGAATAATAGTATTCGACCAAGGCTTTTGGTTAACTTAATTTTTGAGTATCAGGTTCAGCTTAGAACAACATTTGGGTTCGAATAATAGGATACCAAATATCACAAAGTGGGCCCTTTGATGGCTTGGGTTGGGAAAGGGAGGCTTTTTTAAATGGTTGAAATGAGATCTAATAAGCTGGGCGGTTGGCGTCGAAGATGATTTAAGATTATTCTTCAAGTTTAGAGAACTTTGCACGTTATTGAATATAATTGTTTAAACAACTTAGAGCATCTCCAAGGGAGATGTCAAATACCAAACATCAAATTTAAATTTGATGTCTGATGTGGCAATTTGACATCTTACACAGCTTTACACTCCACCCGATATGTCAAATTAAATTATTATTTTATTACATTTTAGTGTTGATTTATTTTTAATTAAAAATAATAGAAAAGAAAAAATAATAAAATATTCATTTGACATCTTGCTTTTGGGATGTCAAAAATAACATCTCAATCTTCAGCCTTCATTCCACATCAGCTTTGACACATCGGTTGGAGTGTGTGAAATGTTATTTCTAGCTAAGTACACACGCACACATATTTGAATTTTCCTTTTTATATTATCTTATATTAGGTGTAGTGCAAAGTATCCACTAGTGTATTATCATGAATTTAAGTTCTAGTATCCATGTAGTGTGTATGAATTTAATATGTTATCGTACCTCTCAATAGGAAATGTTCAAAAAAAAAAAAGCAGGTATTTTTTTTTTTTGGTGTGGAAAAAATAGGTACTTTGTAACAGAAAAATAGACATACTATTTGTAACAGAAAAATAGGTACATTATTCAGAACAAATAGGTGCGTTGTATTCTAAGAGAAAAGCAGGTACATTATTCATATAGGTTTATTGTACCTATAGGTTTAGTATTTTACCGAAAAGGCTTGGCAATTTTTATATTATAATCATTTACCTAATAGGCTTGGCAAATTTACCTGTAGGTTTAGAGAAATCATATAATTAATTTGTTGGAATCAAGAGATTACAAATATAAGTGCAAAGGATAAAAGAGATGCTTATATAAATTAGGTAATTTATGCGTATAATTTATACATAAAGAAAAAATCCTTATAATATCCAAATAATAAAATCATTGAATCTGATATGGAAAAGCCAGAGAAAGTCCTACACATATATGAAATGTAAATGTAAATACCTAGATGGAGGAAATTTGGATAGATTGAAGAAGGATTTGGATCTGCATGAAGCACAAGAAGATAAAACTTTTAAGAGGAAGGAGGAGAAGAAGTCTTTATATGGATTGAAATAAGCTCCAAGAGCTTGGAATACAAAATTTATTGGTTGTTTGTTTGTCATTGGATTTCAGTCTTCCCATTCCGATCCTAGTTTGTTCGTGAAACATGTTGACTCAGAAATTTTAATTCTCTTGATGTATGTTGATGACATAATACTCACTGGTTATACTGAAAAGTTTGTTCAAAGTGTTATGATTTAAGCTCAATTTTTGAAATGAAGGACATGGAACTCATATTTTCTAGGCTTGCAAGTGTCTTATACTTCTGCTGGATATATATTTGTAAATCAATCTAAGCATGTAAAAGATTATGTGTTCTTGTCGAGCTTGTTCTACTCCCTGCAAACCTCACACTTAGGTTTTGAAAGATGCTGCTGAAGATTATCCAGTTTTAGAAGTATTGTAACCAAGAAGTGAGAAACCTTAAACTTCAAATGCATGAAAGAATTTGAAAGTTTCTGTAATCCTCCGAGACAGATCTTTAACTTCGCCGATCGGAGTCTATTTTATTTCCTTTTCTAGCTCTACTTGTTTCAGAATCTGAATCCTTTCACTGAGTACCATTTCTTTTAGATAAAAAGCAGGTTCTTTATGCTCTCATTGCTGGCCAAAAATGAATTGTTAAGGTCTTGTTTACATTTTTAATTCAAAACTTATCCCACCATTAAAATTAGGAAGATCACTAGGCCTTAAACATTTAGAAAAACAAAGGTGATTTACAGTTTCCTAATACATAATACCAAACTATATTCTTAATTTCCTCCAACATCTCAATATTGTGTATAACATTTTCATCCCTGACTTTAGTACTTCTGTCTTAACCATATGCCTGGCAATGCATTGAAATTTTTTTTGTACAAGGGATGAGAGCCAACAAGAAGAAGATGATATGATGAGAAAGTTAATTCAAAGAGTATGATGAATTGAGTGCGTGCAGATATCATAATGTTTATATGTCTATCTCTGTTTGTTTGGATCCAAATCATCTTGTATGCATGTAAAACAGGTATCATGCCTTGAACAATAATTACATGATTGTCTAGGGAGCAAGATCATTCCGTTAACCATGGGCCTAGTTGAGGGATCTTGCTCGGGGTTAATTGGAAACAGAGCCCATGGTGTTGTTGATGGGCATGGCCTATTCTATTCCTTTACCCAAAAACAGAAAACCCCTCCCAAAATAAATTTGGTACTGAATCGTACATGGGCAGGGGGGCAGTTATAAATTATAATTTCATTGAACACTTCGCTTGTTTTCTTATAGATAAGGAGTCAGTTATCCCTAACTATTACTTATAATCCAGTATTGCGATACATGACAATGTAAAGATCATTTTCTAAGTTTTCCCCTTAGTTAAACACTCTGTATTGACATGTGAAGTGCACAATTTCATTTTAAATCACTATTATAAAAAAGGTCTTAGACGACGATTTTACATCGTTGTCTAGATGGAACATTTACCGTCGTCTATACGACCAACAACTATTCTACTTTCCTAGTAGTAGGTATAGTCTTTGAAAACATACCTACCCTCGACTACCTAGCTTCCCTTAGGCATAAAATGATTTTGCAGAACGAAAACATACAAGGGAGGGATAAAACAGATGAAGAAAAGAAGCATATATAAAACATACAAGACATAAAACAGATGAAGAAAAGAAACATATATAAAACATACAAGACATAAAACAGATGAAGAAAAGAAACCAATAGAAATTACAACAATGGAAAACCACTAACCTAGCTTAGAGGGTATGGTCATATTATTAAGTACACCCAAGATTTTGAGGCAAATTACTCTAATTCAAGAAAGAAGCAATCTTTTTCTTCATGGCCACAGCATTGTCACAAGTGGGATTGAACAAATGGAACACATGTTCCTCCCCCTTTGCTTCTATGACCTCCACAACCCCTTTCCATCCACTCTTCTTCAGTACCACACTATAATGCCACCCCCTATCTTTCAAACCATCTTTCTCAGCAACACAAACCAGCACTTTCTCACAACCCAATTCCCCCAACTTCGGATCCTTTCCCGGGTTGAAAAGCGGGTCATCAGATCCGATACTCAAAGGGCAAGTGAAACGCCACAAAGCAGCTATATACTCTCTTTTAGCTGCAGGGGTAGTTAACTCTTCCCCAACTGGCTCTGTGCCCCAAAAGTAAGGATGTATCAATACAATCCCAATAAGCTTAACACCAACCAATCCCTCGCACCCCAATTTCAAAGCCATGTTGTGGGCTATATTAGCTCCAGCACTATCACCGCCGAAAAACACACCGCGTAAATCTGCAAATCTGTTTAGCCAATCTTCAGATCCGTTTCCATCAAAATGGGAAGCAACCCATTTGAGAGCAGCCCATGAATCATCATAAGCAGCCGGCATAGGGTTTTCCGGGGCAAGCCTGTAGTCAACGGAGACGGCAACAACATTGGCCTCAGAGACTAAGGTGTTGAGGTAGTTGTGATATGTGGGAGAAGATGAGCTTTCAATGCAGAAGCCGCCTCCATGAAAGTAAACGAGAAGAGGGAGTTTGGTTTGGGGTGAGCTTGTGGCGGCGGATTTTGGGATGTAAAGCCTTGCAGATATGGCTGGTTCTTGTGAGATCACAACGTCTTTTGATTGGACGCCATTTTCTGGATGTGTTGATGGAGGAACTGTTGATGTGCCTAGGAGTCTCTCAACTCGACCATCTTTATAGACTTTAATGATGGGAGAGAAATCATGGGCTATTTCTTCGTTGCTCATGATTTGGATTCGAGAAGGAAGAAAAGAGAATAATAACAAACAAGTATGGAGGCCTCTCTCTCTCAGTTTCTCTCTTTCTTGTGCAGACTGCAGACTGCAGAGTAGCTGCAAAATTTTTGTTTTTATTAGGGCCTTGGTGGGTTTCTATGAACCCTTCAAATTATTTCTTAAAAAAGAAATTGGTTGATGTTGGACATTTTTGTCTTCCTTCCTTTGGAATTTCATTTCATGCATCTAGTTTTGGCAAAGAGAAGGGCAGATTGATATTTTCATATCTTTGATTTTGAAGTCTTGGTTTTATTTAGGACGGCAAACAAAGTCAATGGTTCATATCTTAATCCAGATATCATTTTTTTTCTTGACGAGTTTTGATTGGTTTTATTGCGTTTTCAGTGCTTATGTGTGCTACTTTTGTCTTCTTTTTCAGGATACATTGATTTCATTTGCAGTCTTTTTCCTCTAAATTATGCCCTATCACTAATCAAATGTTTGAAAGTTCTGATCACTGTGAAAATAATTTAAGGAAATACAGGTAAATACCACTATTACTGTAGTAAATTCTCAAAAAACATTTTTTATGTAGCAAATTAACAATATTTACAGCATCTACATCATATCAATATTATAGGAGATTATTTGCTATTGAAATAAGAAGACATTATCGACAACATATTAAGAGCATTTCCACCCCAGCAGCCTAGCCTAGGCAAAAGGGCCCCTAAGCCTCAAAAACCATTTCCAGTGCAGCAATCCATCTCGGGCAAATGGTGGGCTCTACCAAATTTGAGGGCAATGACGTCATCAATGTAAAAAAAAAAACTCAAAAATCGAAAAAATTTATGAAAAATTCAGAATTTTTTTTTATATACACACCTAGCAATTTTTATTATTATTAATCTCATGTATATAAATAAAATTAATCTTATATGAATAGTAAGTGCCTTTGGGTTGCCACAACAATGGGTTGGAAAGCAAAATAAAAAAGGGTATGGTAATCACTATTCACATAAATAGTGTCTACCCTTACTTACTCTTACCATTTGCCATGGCACAATGGGTGAAAGTGCTCTAAGATAATATTAATATGAGATTATTTACTATGGTAATAGTACTATTTGAAAAGATTGCTTCACCATTAGTTATATTTAAATCTTTTTTTTCACATAAGTTGCTCAAATAATTTAGGGGTTCTTAGATCTAGGTTCAAAACAATTAGCTATCATTGGGTTTAGTCCACGCGTTTTTTATTTTAGATGTAGGTCCTTTGACTTTTATTACTTTTTTTATTGTGTCGATTTTACCCTTTTAGGTAAATAAGGAAAACATTGAAAATCTAAATTTAATGAATTATTTACTTGTAATTAAATTTCAGAATTTAAATTTGGAATTCTTTCATTGATAATATTTACCTAATATATGGATAAAATACAAATTAATCAATGAAAGTAAAGGCCCACATATTATACTAATCAATTAGGCAAGCACCCACATTAAATTATGCAAGCACCCACATTAAATGATGTACCTAATATATACATGTAAATAGTGTTCTTATTAGCAACAAAAAAAACTTAGTGATAAATCGTGTTACCTATAAGTCATGAACATAAATTAGAATACCACCTATAAGTTAAGAACAAAAATTAGAAGACTACCTATAGGTCAGATACAAAAATAGACAAATAAAATTGTATGTTACCTATTAAAAAAAAATGTACGTAAAATACTATTATTTATTGTCTAAATATGAAAAAACACATATATACCTATGCAATAGGCAATATGACAATATACCTACGTACCTTCCTTCCATGTAATAGTTTTTTTTTTTGTTTTCCAAAGAAATTTTGTATGGATTTTTATCTCAGTTGAGTTTAAAGATCCATACCAAGATATTATATGAGTTCAATTACCTGGGATAGAGGGTATAACTACCTAGACTAGAGGTAATTTATGGATTTAATTACCTTGACCATAGGTAATTTATGGGTTTAATTACCTGCATACGAGGTGTATGCATAGGTACCTTACCTATTGTTAAGGTATGAAATTTTCATGAACTCGTATTACAAATGTTGATGTCGGTATACCTTGGGAAATTTTCAAAATTCAATAAATAGATTTGTAATTAAATTTAAATCAAATATGATAATTAATGTCCTACAAATCAATAACTTACCAGTTTTACAAATTCATAATTTACCTTATTTATGTTTTAGGTAGATAATTGGAACAAAAAAATTAAAAATTAAAAAAAAGTAAATATCAATAAATTAAAAAAAACATGTAATCTTATGTGGCGCAAAAGTCAAAGGACTTGTATCAACAACAACTTCTGCGTGGATTGCACCCAATATCTCTCCTCATAATTGGACTTATGCCAAATTTTCTAAATAATTTATGCTTGTTGGATTAAGAAGTGTATACGTGTAAAACGAGCGGCTACCCTTCATCAACTTGCACGAAACGTTTATCTTTGATCAAATGCAAGAAACGTTTTCCCTTAAAAAAATATATTCCCTACTTGAAATATGTAAGCAGTTCTACATGCCACATGGTTTCTTACGTGAATTTCGAAAATGTGAACATATGCAAGGAATTTGGCCTCCCTTCCACGTGACATGAATTTAGTTAATTAATTTTAAATTTAATTCTGAATTGAAACCTAACATAGTAACATGTGCTGTATTATAATTTTAATTTTAATTCTGAATTGAAACCTATTATAATTTGAATGAATTCTTTTTAGCACCATATGTCATGTACCACACAATAAGTGAGTCACTGAGTTGTTGAGATGATACAAAATGCAGATAAGTCGGTCATTGTCTAGTTGTTGAAAAATCGTACCATACAAAACGTGTAAGATCAATTAATTGTCTACCTGTTTATTTTAAGAAATTATCGTATGTTCCGAGTGTACCAAAATATATCCAGAACATGTAAAAATTACTCCTTGATTTGAATGCAAGGGCACAGAATTATGATGAAAGATTTTGAGTTCCATGCAAGATGCAAGTGAACAGGAATAATTTTGGATAAAAACATAAGGAAACTTTTTAAAACATTTCCAGGACATCCACTACTTGAGTCATTAATTTTTTTTTTTTCAAGTACTTTTTTTAGTAACTTAATTTTGGTTTTTAAGGCTCGGTTTAGAGACTCTTAATTAGTCAGTACTACTTCAATTTTCTAGCATGGAATTTACTTTTCCTTTTTCCTACTCTTTTATATGTTGGGAGCCAACTACAACAAACAAACAACATTTTACGTATTTAAAAGTCCAACGTAGATGTTATTGATCTGGTGCAAGTCTCTACCATAATTTTTAATGTTGTTTAAATCAAACTAAATACAGTGACACCTTTTTTTTTTTTATCACCCGTGCTACATGACTGAAAGAACTCTTTATTTTTAAATTATCTTTTACAATCTTATTTTGTTAGATGCCGGTATTACTTCCCTAAAATAATTCAAAGCTTATTTATCGTCTGTATTTTTTTTTGATGTTCATATCAACAGTTTCTTTTCATTCAAATAAAATAAACTTTGATGTTTGACTGCCATGTTTTTGTTATCATTCAAAGAAAATAATCAGCTACTTATTATATGTTTTTGTTACCCTAAATTGTACAAGATAATAGAGCCAACAACAACAACAGTTAACACGATATGATTCACTTCATGCAGATATCATAATTTATATATATATAATCTCTCTATCTCTATGTGGGGCCAAATCATTTCGTATTCATGTAAAGCAGATGTCATACGACTATTCTACTTTCCTAGTAGCAGATATAAAGTCTTTGAAAACATACCTGCCCTCAACTACTGTAGCTTCCCTTAGGCATAAGATGATTTTGCAGGACGAAAACATACAAGGGATAAAACAAATGAAGAAAAGAAACCAAAAGAAATTACAACAATGGAAAACCACTAACCTTGCTTAGAGGCTATGGTCGTATTGTTAAGTACACCAAGATTTTCAGGCAAATGATTCTAATTCAAGAAGGAAGCAATCTTTTTCTTCATAGCCACAGCATTCTCACAAGTGGGATTGAACAAATGGAACACATGGCCCTCCCCCTTTGCTTCTATGACCTCCACAACCCCTTTCCATCCACTCTTCTTCAGTACCTCACTATAATGCCACCCCCTATCTTTCAAACCATCTTTCTCAGCAACACAAACCAGCACTTTCTCACAACCCAATTCCCCCAACTTTGGATCCTTTCCCGGGTTGAAAAGCGGGTCATCGGATCCAATACTCAAAGGGCAAGTGAAACGCCACAATGCAGCTATATACTCTCTTTTAGCTGCAGGGGTAGTTAACTCTTCCCCAACTGGCTCTGTGCCCCAAAAGTAAGGATGTATCAATACAATCCCAATAAGCTTAACACCAACCAATCCCTCACACCCCAATTTCAAAGCCATGTTGTGTGCTATATTAGCTCCAGCACTATCACCGCCGAAAAACACACCGCGTAAATCTGCAAATCTGTTTAGCCAATCTTCAGATCCGTTTCCATCAAAATGGGAAGCAACCCATTTGAGAGCAGCCCATGAATCATCGTAAGCAGCCGGAATAGGGTTTTCCGGGGCAAGCCTGTAGTCAACGGAGACGGCAACAACATTGGCCTCAGACACTAACGTGTTGAGGTAGTTGTGGTATGTGGGAGCAGATGAGCTTTCAATGCAGAAGCCGCCTCCATGAAAGTAAACGAGAAGAGGGAGTTTGGTTTGGGGTGAGCTTGTGGCGGCGGGTTTTGGGATGTAAAGCCTTGCAGATATGGCTGGTTCTTGTGAGATCACGACGTCTTTTGATTGGACGCCATTTTCTGGATGTGTTGATGGAGGAACTGTTGATGTGCCTAGGAGTCTCTCAACTCGACCATCTTTATAGACTTTAATGATGTTAGAGAAATCATGGGCTATTTCTTCGTTGCTCATGATTTGGATTCCAGAAGGAAGAAAAGAGAATAATAACAAACAAGTATGGAGGCCTTTCTCTGTTTCAGTCTCTCTCTTTCTTGTGCAGACAGCAGACTGCAGAGTAGCTGCAAAATTGATGTTTTCATTAGGGCCTTCGTGGGTTTCTATGGACCCTTCAAATTATTTCTTAAAAAACAAATTGGTTGGTGTTGGACATTTTTGTCTTCCTTCCTTTGGAATTTCATGCATCTAGTTTTAGCAAAGAGAAGGGCAGATAGATCTTTTCATATATTTGATTTTGAAGTCTTGGTTTTATTTAGGACGGCAAACAAATTCCATGGTTCATATCTTAATTCAGATATCATTTTCTTTCTTGACGAGTTTTGATTACTTTTGTCTTCTTTTTCAGGATACATTGATTTCATTTGCAGTCTTTTTCCTCTAAATTATTTTTACAAAACTTATTAGCTAATAATTTTGTCCTCTTCATTAGTTAGTTGATAGCCCTATCACTTACAAATGTTTGAAAGTTCTGATCACTGTGAAAATAATTGAAGGAAATACAGGTAAATACCACTATTACTGTAGTAAATTCTCAAAAAACATTATTTATGTAGCAAATTAACAATATTAACAGCATCTATAGACTATTTATAATTGTCATATCAAGATTATATAGGAGATTATTTGCTATTGAAATAATAAGACATTATCAACAACATATTAAGAGCATTTCTACCCCAGCAGCCTAGCCTAGGCAAAATGCCCCCTGTGGGAGCAAATTTCCCCACGAGAATATTCGATTGGAAAGATTCCCCTTTTTTCTTCGCCGCCTCTTTCTCTCTGCAAAATAGAACAAATAAGAGGACCACACCCGGGGGGGTGTTAGCCAAAGGCCCTCCGATGCCTAAATGAGTTCAATTGAATCCTATAGAAAACAATAGCTAATAGGGTACGGAGATATGTTTATGGTGTAAACCGGGCAGCTGGAGCCTTATGTAAAAGAGAGAAAGAGAGGTGGTGGCTAGGGTTTGTGAGGGGAAGATCTCTACAGAGTTTTAGTAGTAATTCTGACGTACCTCAATCCTTGTGCGTAGCCAAGTATTTATAGGGGGCCTCGACGAGGTTGGTGAGGTTGGTGTATTTACGGATTTGATTTATTAGGGATTTAAATCAAATCCCTAATTGTGGTAGGTATCCAATTAATTCGCAATCTGATTAGGTAACTCCTCATTTAATTGGAAAATGTGGTAGGAATCAAATCAGTTTTCAACTTAATTAGGTAATTCTCAATTTAATTGGACATCCCCCAATTAAATTGAGTAACTCCCAATTAGGTTGAGTAATTCCCAATTAGGTCAAATAATCTCCAAATTAAAGGAATTATCTGACCTAGGATTTTGATTTAATTCGGTTCCCACACCCCCTAGGCCTCAAAAACCATTTCCAGTGCAGCAATCCATCTTAGGCAAATGGTGGGCTCCACCAAATTTGAGGGTGATGATGTCATCAATGTAAAATAAAAATAAAAAATTGAAAATTTTTATGAAAAGTGCAGAAATATATATATATTTTTATATATACATACCTAGCAATTTTTTTTTATATTCAGAAAATGTGAACATATGCAAGGATTTTGGCCTCCCTTATTTACAATGATGATACCGCGTGACATGAATTTAGTTAATTAATTTTAAATTTAATTCTGAATTGAAACCTAACATGTGCTGTATTATAATTTGAATGAATTCTTTGTAGCACTATATGTCATGTACCACACAATAAGTGAGTCACGGAGTTGTTGAGATATTGACTGATACAAAATGCAGATAAGTCGGTCATTGTCTAGTTCCGAGTACACCAAAATATATATATCCAGAACATGTAAAAATTACTCCTTAATTTGAATGCAAGAGCACAGAATTATGATGAAAGATTTTGAATTCCATGCAAGATGCAAGTGAACAGGAATAATTTAGGATAAAAACAGAAGGAAATTTTTTAAAAACATTTCCCGGACATCCACTACCTTAGTCATTAATTTTATTTTTTTTCAGGTACTTTTTTTAGTAACTTCATTTTGGTTTTTTAGGCTCGGTTTAGAGACTCTTAATTAGTCAGTACTACTTCAATTTTGTAGTTGGGAGCCAACTACAACAAACAAACAACCTTTTACGTATTGAAAAATCCAACGTGGATGTTATTGATCTGGTGCAAGTCTCTACCATATTTTCAATTTTATTTTGTACTGCTAACACCGTTCTTTCAAGTTTAAAAACTTTGTCGTGGCTGAATATAATGCTTTTACAATTTTGTAAAAATGTGAAGATTGAACATTAATAAGATTAATACATACTAATGTTGTTTAAATCAAACTAAGTACAGTGACACCTGTTTTTTTTATCACCCGTGCAACACGACTAAAAGAACTCTTTATTTTTAAATTATCTTTTGCAATCTTATTTTGTTAGATGTCGGTATTACTTCTCTGAAATAATTCAAAGCTTATTTATTGTATGTATTTCTCTTGATGTCCGTCTCAACAGTTTCTTTTTATTCAAAGAAAATAAACTTTGACGTTTGACTGCCATGTTTTTGTTATGTTCTTCACTACTTGTATGAATTTGGCCTATCAGCTACTTGTTATATGCTTTTTCTGAAGTCTTACTAGACCATTGGGCCATCAAAATATAGAGGAAAGGATCATATAACTAGCATTAGAGGCGGACCCACATGAAGGCAGGCAATGGCCGTGCCCCCCAATCCCATGAATCACTTCTTAAGCAGCTGTTGCTGCAATATTAGTTCTAATATAACTTGAAATTATAGTAATGGCCCAGTGTGAGAATTGTTTGACCCCTTGCAAAATCCAAGGGGAGATGTCGTATAGCAGTGTAGCTCGGAAGTCCAAGTGTCGTATCCACAGAGAGCGGTGTAAAGAAAATAACAGAGCTGAAAAAGAACAATTGTGATAGAGAATTAGATTTAAGTAAGATTTAATTTAAAGAAAATTTAATTAATTAAAACACTAAGGCATTGGGTTCACTTTCAACATAAACATGCAATTCATATTAATTTGATCCATATATAAGATAATTCCTAAAAGTAATTGTTCATATATTTAATACTCTTTTTAATTTACTTGAGAAATATTTTAAGCATAACTTGTACCATTTGGCAACAAACTATCAAAAAATAATCTTTACTTATTCTAATAGTTCATGAATGTTTTTACCAAACTACAAGAAAGGCTTAACTGAACCTATGAATAGATTGAAAACACTCATCAATTAAATAAAGAGAAAAACTACCAATTTTATTTGAACAACCATAATAAAAATAATTTACATTAAGCTTAAATTCGGATCAAACTAAATAAGCTTCGGCTAGGGAGTTAGTTTCCCATAAAAACTAAAATAGAAATTTAAAACTGGAATTAAAAGAATTGGAGGAAACAGAGAGAGCTCAAGAGAAGTGAGCTCAATTCTCCCACTTCATCTTGCCTATGTTGGTGTGGCTGGCCACAATTCCTTTGCTGAATTTTTTTCTATTTTTTTTAATTTTTTTTAAATTTTTTTCTTTCCTTGTGGCAGCTGTAGTACTATCCTCCTATTAGTTAATTGTCATTGAATTGTAGCTTCTTTGGAGTGGACAACACTTCAACAGGCATGTGAATTCAATTTCTTCTTTCTTGCTTCCTTCCCATTTGCATTTGTTAATTGCTTGGGTGCTCCACCTAAAAACAGGAAAAGAAAAAAAAGACTTAAATAAAATTAACTAAAGCATTAACAATATAAATTTAAGAATAATAAATATAATAATTATGTGCTCATCGAGAATAAGAAGGGTGGATAACCCCTAAGAAAAGCAGTCAACATTCACCTTCTTGGCAACAGTCATTGCCTGGAGTGGATGGAAGGCAGGCTACTAGTAAGTCGATTGATCATTATGAATTTTGATGGTTGTAAGAGGAGGTGTGCCGCTACCAATTTATAACCAATTTTTAATTGAAAGTTTATCTTGTCATTAAAATTGAAAGATTATTAGACGTCAACCTCAAGGCAATGTTGATTTATACTAAACTTGTTGTGCGGAAGCGTCAACTAAGTGCGAGTGAAAATAAACACAACTGGCAAGAGATAAAATAATGAACACAAAACAACACCAACAAGAACACCAAGATTTATACTGGTTCGGCAATGCCTACATCCAGTTTGGAGACGACGGAGTATTCCACTATAATAAATGAGAACGTACAATAGTGTTTATCACTCAATTTCCCAAAGACCCAAATAACCCAAGCTCACACACTTACAATAGGAAGAGAAAACCAAATATACAAAGCAAAGAACAATTTGAGAATTTTCTTCTCTCTGCCGAATGGCTTCTTGCTATTTTTCCTCTCCCTCCCTTCAGTGTAATTTCAATTGCTGCATGCATCTCCTTTTTATAGCCAAGGATAAGTGACTCTTCAAGAAACCCAACGGCCAAAGGCCTCCAATCAAGTAAGGTAAGCCATCCATGCTGGATATCATTATGTCTCCCATATGCTGCTGTCCCATGCACTTTGTCTGCCAATCAACTAACCATCATGGGTGTAAAGTAGCCGAAAGCAACATAGCTTTTGAGCCAATAATCAACAAAACTATGTTTTCAATTTCCTCCAATATCTTGATATTTTTTTATAACATTTTCATCCCTATAACTATGTACTTTAATCTGGATCATATCACAACCAATGCATTAAACAGTTAACACGATATGATGAGAAAGTTAATTCAAAAAGCATGATGGATTGACTTCATGCAGATATCATAATGTTTACATATATAATCTCTCTATCTCTATGTGGGGCCAAATCATTTCGCATTCATGTAAAACGGGTGTCACGCTCCTTATACAAAAATATGATGACTGTTTAGGTAACAATAAGATGATTGTTTAGGTAACAATAATTTGATGATTGTCATGCTTTGAAAAACTTTTTTATGTGGTTGAGGCATCTTGCTCGGGTTTAATTTTGTACTTCACCTTTTGATCCAAAAGGGACAAAAAATAATGATCAAAGACAACAACACAATATTGTTTTTTTATTTTTAAAGACAACAACACAATATTTATAGATGGGTGAGAAACCCTACCCAACTGTCCATCCAAAAACCTTACGCATTCAATCTCTTCGATTACTCTTATAGGGTTTTGGTTTCCTAGCCTCTTCTTGAACTATGTCTGCTATTTAAAGGGTTAAACTTCACTCTTGAGATATTAAACTTGTTTAAAAGATAATAAGAATGCTAGGGTGGGCAAGAAACCACCCGAACCATTTACGTCGCTAAATCAAATCAATTCAAATTGTTTGGTTTGATTTTATACCAAACAAGTGTAATTTTGAACCGAACCAACCAATGAAACAAGTATACTATGAAAAAAAAATGATTTAATTACTTGACCTAGGAGATATTCTTCTTGTCCACATGGCGTCTTATGATTGAAAGCCAAAATATTTGTTCCCACTTTCACAATTGGAAGTCTTAAATATCATTTCTTTCCATTAAAACTTGCCACGCTGAAATTGGCGATGCTCTTAGTTTTATTTAGGACGGCAAACAAATTCAATGGTCAGTGACCAGACTGTAGGTTCATATCTTAATTCAGATATCATTTTCTCTCGACGAGTTTTGATTGGTTTTATTGCGTTTTCATTGCTTATGTATGCTACTTTTGCCTTCTTTTTCAGGATTGATTTCATTTGCAGTCTTTTCCTCCAAATTATTCTTACAAAACTGATTAGCTAATAATTTTGTCCTCTTCATTAGTTAGTTGATAGCCCTATCAGTAATCAAATGTTTGAAAGTTATGATCACTATGAAAATAATTTAGGGAAGTACAGTTAAATACCACTATTACGGTAGTAAAATTCTCAAAAAGCATTATTTTTGTAACAAACTAACAATATCGACAGTATCAACAGACTATTTATAATTGTCATATCAAAATTATAGGAGATTATTTACTATTGAAATAATAAGATATTATCGACAACATATTAAGATGATATCAATGTGATGAAATTATTTGCTACAGTACAGTACAATAATATAGACAACATAAGTTGCTCACATAATTTATGAATTTTTTTTTTTGTTGAGAAATTTTGGGATTGCATTCATAATTATGCAAAAAAAGCTATTAGCCACAAAGAACCAATACAAACTAGTTATAAAGGATCAATACCTTTTCCCTTAAAAATTATATTCCCTACTTGAAACATGTAAGCAGTTCTACATGCCACATGGTTTCTTACGTGAATTTTGAAAATGTGAACATATGCAAGGATTTTGGCCTCCCTTATTTGTCTATGCGATGATAATACCGCGTGACATGAATTCGTTTAATTAATTTTAATTTTAATTCTGAATTGAAACCTAACATGTGCTCTATTATAATTTGAATGAATTCTTTGTAGCACTGTATGTCATGTACCACACTAAGTGAGTCACGGAATTGTTGAGATATTGAATGATACGAAATGCAGATAAGTCGATCATTGTCTAGTTGTTGAAATATTGAATGGGACAAGAGGCTGTTGAAGCTAACTAATTAAGATAAAATTTTATTTTCTATTCACTTCGTTGGATTCTTTGTAAGAGCACCTTCACCCATCACCTTTTCCCATAGCAAAAGAGGGCCTAGACTTAAAAACAACTTCCACCCATCACCTTTTGCCATGGCAAAAAGTGGGCGCATAAAACTGGACAAGCCCAAAGGCAAGACTTGCTTGGGTTGTTACCTGGGCAAACTTACGTGTAAGATCAATTATTTGTCTCCTTTTTTTATTTTATTTTATAGAAATTGTTGTATGTTCCAAGTACACTAGAGTATATCCAAAACATGCAAAAATTACTCCTTAATTCGAATGCAAGAGCATAGAATTATGATGAAAGATTTTGGGTTCCATGCAAGATGCAAGTGAACAGGAATAATTTAGGATAACAACATAAGGAAATTTTTTTAAAAACAGTTCCCGGACATCCACTGCCTGAGTCATTAATTTTTTTTTATAATCTTAATTAGTCAGTACTACTTCAATTTTCTAGCATGGAATTTTCTTTTCCTTTTTCCGACTCTCTTATATGTTGGGAGCCAACTACAACAAACAAACAACATTTTACGTATTGAAAAATCCAAACTCTCTTAACATATTTTCAATTTTATTTTGTATTGCTAACACCGTTCTTTTAAGTTTACAAACTTTGTCGTGGCTGAATATAATACTTTTACAATTATGTTAAAATGTGAAGATTGAACATTAATAAGATTAATACATACTAATGTTGTTTAAATCAAACTCAATACAGTGACATGTTCTCTACTTTTATGAATTCGGCCCATCAGCTACTTGTTATATGCTTTTTCTGAAGTCTTACTAGACTATTGTTGAGCCATCAAAATATAGAGGAAAGGATCATATAATTAGCATTAGAGGTGGACCCACATGAAGGCATGAAATGGCCGTGGCCCTCCCAATCCCATGAATTACTTCTTAAGCAACTGTTGCTGCAATATTAGAGGGTTTCGGAAATATCGGTGGTTTAAAAATACGGAAATATCGATGGAAATATCGGGAAAATATCGACATCGATAAAAATTGGATAAAAACCACGGAAATTGTGATAAATACATGAAAATTTTTAATGACATTTTATAAAAAGTTTATTTAGTCAATCATCTATTATTTTGAGACAAAAGATTGGAAGGAAATGCATTGCATAGTGGGTTTGAGTGATTTAAGTTGATTATATTGCGAGCTAACAAACTCTGTGACTTAGAAAATTTGGAGTAATTAATGAAAGAAAATTAAACACCATGTAGTAATTTATTTATCATTTTTACTACAATATTTTACACTTTATAAATTGCATGGTAAGATACATGAGGAACCTTATTTCACGTTATTTGCTAAACATGGTACATGTTCTTATATTTATTATTTATCAAAAATTGAAAAATAATTAAAGATGTAAACCAACTTGATTTGTCATGAAAATTAGGCAATTTACCATGCTTAAAAAATATTAGTGAAGATTGAAAATTAACTAAGAACATAAATTATATTAAGTAATTAAATATTTGATCAATAATATAGAACAATAAGTAATTATTTTCTATTTTGAGGGACAGCTCGGAAGACATATAAATATGAATTTCATATTTGACTAATCACAAAGTGACCACTAGCGTGGTGGTTGATTGGCTCCAGAACTTGAAAGGGTGGAAGCGGTTTGGACCCTTGTGTGCGTGAGTTCAAGTGGATTATTTCATTTTTGAAAGTTCATATCGCAATATTATCGATTTTATCGATAATATCGCGATATGTTGATCATTAGAGACATCATCTCAAGGCAATGTTGATTTATAATTTCCTTATGCATAATACTAAACTATATTTTCAATTTCCTCCAACATCTTGATATTGTTTATAACATTTTCATCCCTATAACTTTGTACTTTAATCTGGATCATATGACTACCAATGCATTAAAAAAAATTGTACAAGATATGAGAGCCAACAACAACAGTTAACACGATATGATGAGAAAGTGAATTCGAAAAGCATGATGGATTGAGTTCATGCAGATATCATAATGTTTATATATATATAATCTCTCTATCTCTATGCGGGGCCAAATCATTTCATATTCATGTAAAATAGGTGTAACACGCTTTGAATAATAATTTGATGATTGTCACTTGGAATAACTTTTTTATGTGGCATTATTTCACACAAGTTTTTGTCCTAGTTGAGGCATCTTGCTCGGGTTTAATTTTGTACTTCAAAAATAATGATCAAAGACAACAACACAATATTGTAATTTAAAAAAAAATAAAAGACAACAACACAATATTTATGGATGGGTGAGAAACCCTACACAACTGTCCATCCAAAAAGCATACGCATTCAATCTCTTCAATTACTCTTATAGGGTTTTGGTTTCCTAGCCTCTTCTTGATCTATGTCTACTATTTAAAGGGTTAAACTTCACTCTCGAGATATTAAACTTGTTTAAAAGAAAATAAGAATGCTAGGGTGGGCAAGAAACCACCTGAACCATTTACATTGCTAAATCAAATCAATTCAAATTGTTTGGTTTCATTTTATACCAAACAAGTGTAATTTTGAATCGAACCAACCAATGTAACAAGTATACTATAAAAAAAAAATCCAACCAAATAGATATAGGTGCACTTTTAAATCAATCAAACTAAACATTCATGCATGTCCAAGAACTCTATAGCGAGGGTTTTATCTAAGGTCCTTAGATGATGCCCTATTTTAACTGTTAGATCAAATTAGTTAGCTATTAGATCAATTTAGTTAGTTTGATCCAGTGACAAAGAAATTAG